GGGGGACCCGGGGTGTGGGGCCGCCATGCCGGGGCTGGCCGTGAGCAGGCCCTGGGGGGGCGCTGGGAGCACCTGGGGTGGGCTCGGGAGCCCTGCGTCCCCGGGATGCCTGGGCGTGAGGGGCCCGTCCCGCCGGGCTCCCGCTTTGGGGGTGGGGGGCCTGGCCGAGGGCCCCGCGTTCCTGTGTCTCAGCACTCGCTTGGGGCGTTGCTCGGCAGCGAGGGTCTGGGGAGGCCGGCTGGGACCCGCCGGGCCCGAGCCTTGCCCTGTCCCCACGCTGGCTGAGCCGCCCTGGCGGGGACAGAGGCTGCGGGCGTTTGGCGTGGAGGGGCCTTGCCGGGCCCTGCTGATCGCCCTTCCCCCGCAGGATGAGCTGACTGCTCTGAACGTCAAGCAAGGCTTCAATAACCAGCCGGCGGTCTCTGGGGATGAGCACGGCAGTGCCAAAAATGTCAATTTCAACCCAGCGAAGGTGAGAGCCATCGGGACAGTGTGGGGGTTTGGCAGGGCCTGGTGTCTGTATGGGCAGGCTGGACAGTCCTGGGTCTTATTCCTTCCCCGTGTCCAGAACCAGGAGACCCTTCCCTTTAGGATGGGTGTTTTAGATTCTACAGGGACAGAGGGTTAGGTCCTAAGTTCTGCATTCTTTTGGAACTGTGTCCCACCTCTGGGAGAGCAGGTTCTTGTCTTGCTCCATACATCTTAGGGGCAGGTCTGTATCTGCAGTCTCTGTTAAACCAGCATCTAGAACTCCTTATATTCTGCAGTTAAAGCAGAAGGCTAGGATACCAGAAGCGGGAAAGTTCTTACTGGTTTGGTTATATTATGGTCATGGTAGAAGAGAAGTAAGATTTCTTGAAACGTGGCAATTTAAACATGGGAGTTATATAACAAGCTTCAACTCCATTTTTCCAATCTCTAAAATCAAGATGTTAACTTCCTGGCCTCCCCGACAAGAGGGCTAGTAATGACCTGGGATGGAAGGCGATCAATAAGCATAGTATATTTGTTTTCCTTGGCTGACGTCTGTCTGTCCGAGAAGCCTTCTGTCTGGTTTGACAAGTATTTATAAAGAGTTGTGTCTGTCTTAACTTGACTCCCTGCTTGGTTATTATATGAGTTGTCTAGAATCATTCCTCTTTGCAAGTATAACAAAGGAAATTATTGGCAGGTTTTTTGTGTTTCAAAAGTTGATACTGGTGAGGCTTCTGGTAGGAATGATAAATGAGATTTTAAGCACATAGAGTACATCTTTGACTTGTGAAATGTAATTCATCCTTTTTTTCTTTTTTTTCCAGATCAGTTCAAATTTTAGCAGTATTATTGCAGAAAAGCTGCGGTGCAATACACTGCCTGACACGGGAAGACGGAAACCCCAGGTGAACCAGAAGGATAACTTTTGGCTGGTGACCGCACGTTCTCAGAGTGCCATAAACAACTGGTTCACAGATCTGGCTGGAACCAAGCCCCTCACTCATCTCGCTAAAAAGGTATATTACAGGAGAGGCTGCCTGGCAGGGCACAGCATTTAATCTATGCTTGTTTCTGTAGCGTTTGTACAGTAGAAGGTTTTTACTATTTGGAGAAGTTTCTTCTCTCTACATCTCTTGAAGCTTTCAGCTTGAAGAGCGTATCCAGGATTTGTAGTGCACTGGCTGTAGTCGTCCCCGCTCAAAGAACTGGTCCCTTGTCTGTTGTTTGGAGGCTGTTTCCAGCTTTGCCTTTTGGCTTGTATGATACAACTGATCTATTTTAAGGTTTGGATGGTTTTCAGAAGAGCTGCCACTGTTGCCTTTGGTCTGTTGTTTAGATTAGGACCATTCCTATTGTGGAGGGTTTTGGGGGTTTTTTTGAGAACTTTTCAAGTTCTCAAAAGTCATAGTGAGAATTACTGGAAATAATCAGCTGAGTGACTTCCCAGAATTCTGTTGCAGTGACACATGTTTCTGGTTTTAAGCTGAGAAGAGTATGTATATTATAGCTTGGTCTCAGCCAGACTAGAGCATTTCATATCTAGGGCTAGATATTTCCCTGGTAGCACTGAATTCTGTAGAGTATGAAAGAAGAAAGAAGGATCTTACTCTGCCATTTTACCAGGCCTGATAGCAGGGGGAGCTAACTCTCTATGAGGGTGGGCCTATAAACAAGGAACTCAGGAATCTAGTATGTATTGTGGAAAAACATAACTCCCAGTTGCGAAATGGTAGCAGAGCACATAGTTTAGAAGCTGGAGTTTGTCTGGTCCTTGGTGTTCTGAGTCAGTCTTGGGGGAAAATAATCAGATTTTCGCAGAATCTGTCTAAATAATAAACTTAGTCCTTGTGTCCTTCTTTGCATGTTGGCTGTCAGTTTCCTGAGGTCATTGTGAAAGCTTGAACGTTTCAAGGCCTTCCCCAGTTTCCTGCATCAGTTTTCATGGACTTAGACATGAAAGAAGTCACTGTCGGCAGCCAAGTAGTCTGTGTCTTTGAGGCATCAGAGAATAATTGGGAAGAATGTAAGAAACATAGCAAGTAAGCAATTGAACCGTTGGTAGTTCAGGGACTTTGAGATACCTACCAAATGGACCTGTTCTCTGTGAATTTGTCTCATTCCTCTGTGAACACACGCGTACTTTTGCTCTCCATAGTATCCTGTGGAAATGAGCCCCACAGCTGGACTTTTTCCTCCGATGTGTTACTGCTTCCTGGTTTATAGATCTGCAGTCTGATTTCACTGGTATCCTCCCATGTTGCATCGTGAATTTTGAATCTTGGATTAATGAATTTCTTCCTACTATGGTACTCGAGTCCACGTTTCTCACAGTCTTCTGTTGGCTTGATATTACAAGACTTGGGTAACCACTCTGTTTTGTTTACAAAATGAAGAGTCCTATCTTCAGTCCTTAGTCTGTACCTTTTGCAGTTGTTTATATCCTCTCTGGAGGGTATCCTCAAAGCTGTTTGCAGGATTCAGGGCATGGATTTACAGTGATATAACTGTGTTTTCTGTCGTCTTTCAATTTGTTTTGTTTCTGTTTATACTGAAATGCAGCTCTGGTACTGTTGCTTTCTGACTAGAGGTGAATTCTTGCAGTAGGTTTTTTGAGATGCAGAGCAACACAATACCTTCTCCCTTTTTGCCTTTTTCACAGCTTGCAGCGCCTACAGCGTGTGTAGTTGCTTTGGAATAGTTCCCATCTAAGTCCTTGGTTGCAATTCTCCTTCTCAATTCTGTTACAGGTGCCTATCTTTAGCAAGAAGGAAGAGGTCTTTGGTTATTTGGCGAAATACACTGTTCCAGTAATGAGAGCAGCCTGGCTCATCAAAATGACTTGTGCCTATTATGCTGCCATCACAGAAACCAAGGTGAAAAAGCGTCATGTCATTGATCCCTTCATTGGTAAGCACTTTGTGTGGAGCACTGGTTTTGTCCATCCCAGATGTTTCCTTCTCAGCCTGCTCTTGAATAGTAAGAGGTAGCCTGGAAATCCATATAAACTTGTTTCCTGCTGATAAGTCCTAGTGCTCTGATGTGCATAACTGTCTAAAACAACAGGGCCCACCTGTGAGAGTACACTGTTGAAAAGTAAGTCTTAGCAGCCACAAATATTTCCTGAGAGCCTACCTCTTCTTTCTCCCTGTTAAGTTTTACTGTGCTCCTCTGCTGTATAACCTGTTTTTTTTTCTTACCCTACAAAGACTGTAAACATTATAATTTAGCAATGACTGATTAGCCTCTTCTCAAGTGAGTAAGTTTCCCAGAGAATTCCGGTATGTTATTCCCTGTTTGTGTTTCCATTTTCATGAAGCTTTACTGGATCCCATAGCTAACATCCTTTGCATCCTGGCCCGCTCCACATTACTGTGGTCTAGGAGAGCTCCCCTGGCTGT